CAACTAATACCCTAGGTTAACTAATTGGCCAGCCCTGAGAAGGTGTTAGCTCTGTGACTTAGGCCTGGTAATCTGAATTCGCCCAGAACCCCTGTTTCCTCATTAATTAAGTGAAAGTGTTCTTCAATGACTCTTTAACTCTGCTCTTCAGAGTTCTGGGGATTCTTTAGAGAAATGGCAATCAAGATATACTGAATAGGGTTAGGGTAAGCAGTTTACCGAGCTCTGGTTTGTCCTAACTGTAGACTTCTATGTTTGAATCAAAGGGCTGCCATTTTAAAATATTGGGAAACCAAATGCAAAAATTTCATTGCCCTCTTCCTATGGAGTCAGGGCATGTTACCCTTTCAGCAAATTAATAAATGACAATAAGCACAGAGTATTGCCAATCAGGGAAGTTCACCTAAGCTACACTGTCCAGAGTTTTTATTGGGGTTTCATTATGTAGGTATGATTGATTGAATCATTGGCTATACACATTGGCTATACACACATTGGCTATACATCATTATATCCTTGGAGGTTGGGCTGGTTTTGATTCATATCCTCATACTATAATAAAACTGTAATTGTAAGTAAATATATATATATATATATATATATATATATATATATTCCACTCAAATGATCTTTAAAAAAGCTCCTGCCGTCCGGCATTCGTGGGTTCTACGAATAGAAGATTCTTGCAACATGATCTCTGCTCTCAAATGCAGTTGATTAAAATAGCAACAACAACAAAAATAAATATATGGGAAACAGCAGAATAAACCAGGCCTTTTAGGAAAAAGAGCTTAGACTTTGAAGCCAGATGACAAAAGCTTTAGGTTCTCAGAGATGCAGACAGGAAAGATGTCAGCAAGGTTAGAGAGGAAGATCTGGCCCAGGAAAGGGAGAAGAGGATTGATTGCTTGGGGAGGTGCAGTGCAAAACAGGAAAGGAAATGAAGATTGTCAGAGAGAAGAGTGGAAATGGCCAGCATGGAAGCTGCACCACCTACCCAGACATATCAGTGAAGAAAACTGTTGCTCAGAAATTCCATGGTCAAACGTTGGTGGGTGTTATTACAAAAATCAAGGAAGGCTCCTCAAGGCCTTGAGCCTGGCTGAGTTTATTAGCTATGGCAAAGAGTAAGTGGAAGGGATGTAGCTGAGAGAACATGTGGCCATCTAGCTCCAGGCTGGGGCATGAAAAGCAGAGTAAAGAATAAACCATCGTTTCATTGAAATGGCTACATTTTTTACTAAACCCCACTGTATTATCATCTAAGCTTCTTTGGTGTCTTATTTACTATTAAGCAAGAATTTTTTTCTACCCTCCTATTCCAAGCAAAAAAGTATGTGTTATGGACTGTAACAATACTACACAATCTCTTGAATCCAGCGGCCAGTGAGAAACAAGTGTGGTTAAGACTGGACTTTTCTACCATGGCCACATTCTCATTTCATTTTCTATCATAGGCAAATCATTAATTCGTTTCCGTTTCCTGACATGTAAATAACTAATATTTAAATTCTGACTCACATGAGGGGATTAGGTAAACAATCTAAGGGAAATTGTTTATAAAATATGTGGCTGATATACTGCTTACCCTAAAGATAAACATGATTTGCAAAGATGCTCCTTGAAAGAAAAAAAAAAAAAAAAAGATAAACATGATTTCATTAGATGGTGATAATTACCCAGAGAATCACTGTGGGAAATAAGCATAGAGCTTGTTTTGTTGTTGTTGATTGGTTGGTTGGTTGGGTTTTTCTTTTTTCTTTTTTTAACCTTGGACCAAAGTACAGTTTGTCAAACTTGCTAAAGAGGAAGTTTTCAATACTGGAACTAATTGTGGTGGTGGGTGTTGAAAAGGTAAAGGGAAGGTCATAGATAACAGTTTTAATTTTTTAAATGTACTTGAATTTAAATGTACTATGAATTTCTTGGATACTAGTGACATTCCTTTAAGATAAACAAGGTAACACTCTTGGATGAAGGAACTTGGCTTTACAGTGGTGAAATAATTTGTTAAAGGTAAAAATTAGCTAGTAATGGGGAAAGGTTTGAACTAGAGGTTATATCTGGCCTCTGAAAATGGAAATAACAAGGAAAATTTTATAGTATTAATAATACTAAATAATAATAATAGAGGTAGCATTTACTGAGTAGTCACTAAGTATTAGGAATTGTTAAGCTTCACAATGACATGCATTGCTGTTATTTTCTTCATTATAGATGGATGGGAAGAATCAAATGCTTAAATAATTTTAGTAATTTTTTGAATTTCAGTCCCAGATCATAAGTAGGGGAGCCATGTTTTGATCAAGTGTCAAACTCTGTGTTCTTAATCAAATGTACAAAGTATTGTCCAAAATACAATATCGAAAAGACATACACAGATGTGATTGAATCCATGTCTGGGAAAGCTGGTTCTGTGTGTGTGTGTGTGTGTGTGTGTGTGTGTTACTGCTGCATACTCTTGACACTTCCAGCCAGACAAGAATAACAAGAAGGTTCAGTAAATTTTAGCATTTGGGAGTGGGAGTTGATAAAAGGGTTATCCCTGTGGCAGTCTGAGATAGACTATAACAGTCTGGGCTGTTCTGGTCCAGCCCAAGGAAATGATGTCCCAAACTACCACTGAGGTATTTACCTCCCAGTCCTGCCAATCTTGGCCCGAGACTGCTGAATCTGTTAAGAGGCCTATGAGGCTGGGTTCCTCCTGAGGGTAGAAAGAAACCGGCACTCGCAGTTTAGAAAGCAAGTCATGTCCCCGTGGGTTGATGGGACTAGTGGGAATTATCAGAAATGAATGTTCAATGGTCATGTCATCCCACAGGCAATCCCATAGGATGGAGTGCAGTCCAGTGACCTATTTGATGGCACCTATGACAAAGGGCTGTGGCGGCCTGTCCCTGTTGGGGCAGTCTTTGGCCCAGTGCCCTTCTGGTTGGCAGATGCAACACTGTAGATCCCTGTCTTTGCTGGGGGCTTTGACCATTGGTCTGAAAGTAGGTGTTAATGCTGCCATTAAGTGGGCATGCCTGGCGTCCTTCCTCCACTCTTCCCCCCAAACCTGAGACTCAAACTCAGAAGTTCTATTATAGAAAACAGAATTAGAGGCAGCCACCAGTTCATCCAGGGATGTGGTAGGGTCCTGGAAAATCTTCTGGAGCTTTCTCCTAATATCTGGTGCTGCTTGAGTAAAGAATTTGTCTTTTAATATCACTCGTCTCTCATAGGAGTTAAGATCAAGAGAGGTGTATCTCTCTATTACTTCGCAGAGCCAATCCAGGAAGGCTATGGGGTTTTCTTCGGGTCCCTGTGTTATGGTGGAGACCTTGGAATAGTTGACCGCCTTTTGCCTGGTGTCCTTGAGGCCAGCCTGGACATATACTAGAGAATGCTCTCTCTCCCACCTCTCTTGTGAGGAATTATTATCCCACCCTGGGTCAGTCACGGGTCATGCTGTTTCACCCACTGCGTATCCAGGATCTGAAAGATATAATCTTGTGGCAAATTTTTGTGCCTCCATTAACCTCCTAGATTTCTCAAAATCACTTAAACTCTGACTTAGAATAACATGTACATCTTTCCAAGCCAAGTCAGAGGCTAGACATAAATGCTGTAATGTCTCTACATATCTGTCAGGCTGATTGGGGTATCTCCCCAGATCCTGTTTTCTTTGATTTAACTCTACTAAACTAAAGGGCTTATGGGGCAGGGTTAGTCTGAACTCCCATGCTGCTTCCACCAAGGTTAGGAGCTGAGCTACCTTTCCCCCAGGTGGAGGTAGAGACGGCACCACCTCCCCCTTTGTAGGGCCCCCTTTAGGCATCCCCAGGTATGGGGCAGCTCAGAAGAGGTGGGAACCTGAGGAGGAGCTCTTAACACCATACTCGTATTTGGCTCTGAACACTCCCTGCACTACCAAGGATATTCTCATAAGTAAAACGAAGCTTGTACACATAGCATTACAGCCCATTTTCCTCCCTTTTTGGAAAGAAGTCCAATTGTAAGATGGTGGGGTGATTTACAGTCCCATGTGGTGGTCACTGTTCTCCACTGTTCAGCTTGTACTGTAGCCAGTCAGTTGTGCAGACGAAGATTAAAAGTTTCTTCTTCAGAGTATCCAGATCAAACTTGTCCCAGTTTGAAAGAATGAACCCCAAAGGGGTGTTAGGAGGGATTTTTGATCCCTGTGCATCCATCTAGAGTGAAAGGAGGGAAATAACAAAGAGAGGAGAAGGGGAGACTTTACCAGCTGGGGTCTGTTAGAGATATGTGTCCCCAGGTAACAACCTGGGCCATCCAGCTGTGGAGCAAGGAGGGAAAGTGGAGAGGCTGTACCTGCTGGGGTCTATTGGAGCCATGGGTCCCCAGGTAATGACTTGGGACATTCTGCCAAAGTACAAGTCCAGACATCTCCTTTTCAGTTCGTAGGAAGAGGTGCATGACCCCTGAACCCTAAAAGCTTCTCATCTTTTTTTGTTTTTTGTTTTAAGAGCCAGGACACAATATTTGTTTGTATAAAGACCTGGTCATTTGTATAAGGACTAGCATCAGCAATTGGGTGGCCAGCCACAATAAGGAAGGCACTTCTTGGAATGGAACAAAAGCAGCAACTTGAAAGTGAAGGAGAAAGGTCCAATAAAACCAGGGGGAGGAAATATTGTTTACCCTTAACATGGGAAGAGGCCACAAGTACCCCATCAGATTGGAGAGAAAAGTACATTGTCAAAACCAACATGAAGCCCAGAAGCATAAGACTTACAACACAGTGCCCTTTTCTCTAAAGTGAAACAAAGTGGAGGACTTCTCCTCTACTGCACAGGACACATCCCCAAACTCCTCATCACACACCCAGGTTTGGCCAAAAACAACAGTGCAGTCTGAGAAACAGCAAGGGTGGAAAAGTGGAAAAGCAAGTGCCAGCATCCCCTCAAGCACTGGATGCGAAGTGGGAAGACCGGAAACAAAACAAGACCGTTTTCATTCAAAAAGGTGAGAGGGCTTACCTAAGCAGAGCGATCCAAGTCATGGCACCAAAATGTCCGATCATACTTGTCTGCTCCCAGTTCTTGGTGTGCTTTTGGCTGAAGAAAGACCAGATACACAAAAGTAAAGCAAACACAAGGTGAAGTTTATTGAGTAAAGTAAGATATGTTCACCACAGACAACAAAAAGACACCCTACCATAACAGGAGGGCCCCAATTATGGCCTGGGGTTTCATATTGCCTAGGCCAGGCCCTCCTTGTGGTTCAAATGTCACCATGAAACCACTTTGATGAACAGTTGGGAATTATATAACCTGAGTCTTACTGCACATGCGAGCTTCCGGTGAGCTTCTCTGAAAGACCCTTGGGGGTGGGGGGGATGAACCACAATGTAGATTTAAGCTAATGACATGATAACTAGCCTTAGGTTGTTCTAGGTCACCTTCCAGACCCTGTTGTGCCTGTGCTGCTTGGCTTGTGGACCAGGGAGTCTTCTGCATTCTTTTGCAGTTGGTGGTTTAGGTTCTGATTGGCAGGTTGCTAGGGTGTTCTTCCCTCTCCCAGGTATGGAAATTGCTTGAGTGCCAGCCTATGTCCCCAGGAGGGCCAGAGGTTCTTCATTGTCTACCTAGCAATAGGTGCCTGGGAGACTCATTCATTCTTGAGGACAACATGCACTTTATACAAATGAAATCTCCTGGATCTGCTCAAGAAAGTCTTCTACCTCCTGGCTCTGTCCTGCACCAGACCCCTAGTCAACCCTGATGAGGCAAGACATTAATCCAGTGTCAGATCTGTGCTTTGTTTCCCATTTGCTTTCCCTTATCTCCAAACTATTGGAACTTAGACAAAAGTTATGTGTCTAGACCGGGGATTGAGACTCCAGTCAGACATGAGTCCTTTATTTTTTCTTCTCCAAGTCCCTAACACTAACCTTGGCTGGGAATCGTTCAGCCTTTCAAGTCCTCAGACTGCATATGCCCTCTTAGCTCATTTGCTTGTGATTGGACTTCTGCTACCTTGCAGTTCCAGTTTTTTGACTGGCTTCTTATTGCTACATTAGGATAAGAATTGTGCCCCCAAATCCAACTTTGATTTATGGGATAAACTATGCTCTTCTTAAGCCTTTCTCATGTGAATAGAGAAGAAGTCCTGGCCCAGAGCCCAGAGAATGGGTCCTTGACTAAGGGCCCTGGGCTAAGGGCCCAATGGCTAAGTAGAAGGGTTTTAATAATTACTGCTTTTTTTCTCCCATTCCCAGTACTGAATACCATTTACCTTATTTGAACCCCACACTCCACCTCAAGTCCTGACACTGACTTTTATCTGACTCTTGACAAGCTCAGTGACCCAGTACTCTTGAAAGTCCCAGCACCCTCCACACTTTACTTCAACTGTGACTGAGGTGAAAAGAAATTGTGCCACCGAGAGAAACAACAGGTTGGGTTCTGTTGGATACAACATCATAAAGGTCTCATGCTCTCATAATTTGTACCTGCCTTTCAGGAGTTTACAGTCTAGTTGAAAGACAGAACCGAAACTAAAATGATAAGTCACCTTATACTTATGTACCAGAAAGCCTGTATGAGTCACGGTTCTCTAGAGAAACAAAAGTAATAGGTTATATATAGATAGATCTATGAAAGAAGATTAATTATAGGAATCATAACACATCACCACCTAGCCTGAGAAATCCCACATTCTGCCCTCAGCATGCTGGAGAACCAGGAAGGCTGGTGGTATGATCTAGTCCAAGTCTGAAGGCCTGAGAACTGGGGTACGGGTGGATGGGTTGTGGGAAAGCATGGGGTAACTCCCAGTTCAAGTCCAATTCTGAGAATCAGGAGCACCTGTGTATGTCTCTGGGTAGGAGAAGTTGGCTGCCCCAGCTTAAACAAAGAGCAAATTTGCTCTTCCATTGCCTTTTACTTTCACTGGGGCCCTCATGATCTGGTTGAATGATGCCCACCTGTGTGGGTAAGGGAGCACTTGTTTACCTAATCTACCTATTCAGATGATAATCTGTTCTGAAATACCCTCACAGACATCCCAGAAATAATACTTCACCAACTATCAGGGCATTCCCTAATTCAGTCAAGTCGACACACAAAATTAACTGTCATAAAGACCAAGTCATATTGTAAGTGTGTGAGACTGGAAACGCTTGAGGGGGTTGTAGAAACTGTATTGATGGTGAGAGCTCCATTCTTGAAAGGCAGACTCCGTGGAGTGTTATACCTTCAAGGAATAAACTATTTTACAGATGAGGAACCAGAAGCTTAAAGGTTAACTATTTCCCCAAGATCACATAGCCAGTACAAGATAGACCTGAGAATCAATCCAACTCCCCTCCTCCCCACTCGGCCCCTAGGCTCTTCTAGAAACGAAACAAAACAAAACAAAAAAACTAAAACTCATTGCTGGAGCTTAAAGTAGGATGCAATTTGAATTGTTTGAAAATATGAACAAAGGGAATATGATTTGAACACATATGGCTTTGTCAAAGTTAATCAATCATTTGTGCCAGTCAATTCTCATTCAAATGGAAGAGACCCCTGTGTGATTTATTGAACTGTCTGTTATTTCTACCAATTCCATTAGGATTCTATTGGTGAGTATTACCTGGCAACTATAGCAAGTATCTGGAAGCTCGTGAGCATTGGTTCTGGGCAAAATGCTGCCCTGGGTGATTGGGAAAGAAAGCCAGACCCATTCAGTGTGGAACCAATTAGTTTTTACCCTTACTACTTTCTCATCCGCAAATGGCTTTTTTCCTTTTCTCCAGCTGTTATCTGTTTTTCAGCCTGCAGTTTCTCTAATGAGGTATCTGGTACTTAATCTTTCAGAATAATGAATAAGTCAGTCTCTCTGCAAAGGTGCTTCCTGTCCTGGGAGCACTGTGGCGGCTCGTCTGGATGCCAGTCTATTGTTTGTCAGGATTCTATGAAGAAGCCAGCTCCCCTGAAAGTCTCTGACATTGAGCTTGCATCACCTCACAAAGATGGAGCATCCTGGGAATGGCAAGGCTGTAAAGACAAATATTTAGCCCCCCAAAAGGTAAAGAACTGTGTTAGGTTCTCAAGAAAAGTGAAAGTCATAGCATATGCCATTCTTAAAATTAGACTTATTTATAAGAAAATAAATTCTCAAGTTTCTAAACCATCTACACTTGCACAGGTACACACTACTTCAAAACTGCATACTATAGACATTAGTCAGAGCAGCCATTTAAATATAAATAAATAAAAATTAAATTATTAATTTATTTCTTCAATTGCACCAGTTGCTCTTCAAATTCACAATGGCAAGGTGTGACTATGGGCTAGATACTAGTGCTAGATACCACCCTAGAAGAATAAACAAAGGAATTTACTGTCCTTAGGGACTCCCCTAGTAATTACATCAAGCACAAAGTAACATAAATAATAAACAGTTGGCATAGATTCTCTCTAAACAGGGGACAGAAATCTAGCATTTTTTACTAGACACAAGCCATTTAAAAATCACACACTTACCTCCCTGAGTCTAGAGAATAAATAACTATGTAATTCCCCAGACTAAATAAGCTACTCTATACAACAAAGATAAGGAACTGCCCATTGCTCAATTTCATTCACAGAGCAAGCATCAGTAAATCCTCTCAAGTGGTATATCTCATGGTATAATCTCAAGTTTACCTGGATCACAGTAACCTGATGAAAGAGTTTAATAATACAGTTAAGGGCAGTTTAGAATCTGCATTTAACAAGCCTTCTAAGGAATTCCTTTTCACGTTACAATTTGAGGATATTTGCAGTAGAGTCAGAAATAAATGACCTCTTGATCTCTCTTACTTATTTTTCAAAAGTAGACAAAGTCAGAGCTCCTGGATTTGAATCTTGGCACAGCCACTTACAACTGTGTTAACCTTGAGCAGGTTGTTTTCCCAGAATCTCCCCAGTGGAGGTCTCCTTCCGTATCGTCGGTGAGGTTTGGCTGTGTCATTTGCCCTTGAGTGAGCTCAGAGCAGGCAAGGCAGAATAAATGGTCATGATTGCTTAGACTAATTAGCTTTCATCACAGGGCAGGAAAAAGAGCCAGCAAGAATGTGATCATCCAGTACTAACCAAGGTTAGAAGTCTTTAGCAAGGAGGAGGATCAGTAGAATGGCTCTTAGGAGGAAACCAACAGCGTCTGGCAAAGAATCCTGTTTGATGCTCAAACATAGGTTAGTATTGCTAATTCTACAAGACAGAGGAATATAGCCAACTTCAGAACTGTTTACAATACTTACTCAAGTCTGCATAGCTTGTTGGCTAGAGATTTACTGTCAGAGACATTGTCTGCTCAGTCCTGGTGCCTTTCCTCTGCAGTTATACAGATAACTCCCAATGTCTTGCTTTTCTTCTTCTGTCACAATATGTTTTCCCTTTTATACATCCTTCCTCCTTTTCTTTTATATTTTATGTGAGGACATCTCCTCTGCACATCCTTCAACTCCACATCCCCTGAACCTCCTTGCTACCAGGCTCAAAAATATACCTTGAATTTTTCCCTTTTCCCCTTTCCCTTTAGTAGCAAATATTGTGGGATTTTTGTCAGCCACTTGATGTTAGTCATTAACCATATACACAGATAATTCTATTCTGAATCTAAGGATAAATATGTATGTATGTGCATACGTGTGTGTATATATATGTATGTATGTATGTATGTATACACACACACATATGCATTTTCTACCAAAAAGACAAAATAGAAAAGAGACCCAAAGCTTTCCTCATTATTCAGGCTTAGGGAGGATATTGTAAATATGAAGAAATCTGACTTCTATTCATCCTCAGTGGGGAAAATATACTGCAGACTTCTGAAGGAGTGGAGGGAGCATCAAACATGAAAATGTATCTTCACATAAGGAAAGAAAGCCAATACCCCAGGAGTTGGAAACCCCCAGTCCATTATAGTTTTTGCAACCGTCTGGCTGCATTTCGAAACCTCATATTTATGAACTTACTCTCAGCTTTCCAGCTGTCCCAGGCAATGGCCTAAAAGGAAGATGATAGCTTCAGGTGGGGAATGAGGAGCAGATGGGGATGGTCACTTAAGGCATGGGGTCCTGTTAT